ACCCATGGTACTGGGCCTCTACCTGCTTGTCGTCTCGAGTGTACGTCGTCCCCAACCCGTTCAAGGTTGCCCCTCCTGATGGCCCACTGTCTGATGTCCCCATGGTCCGGAAAGTGAACAATGTTCTGCCTGCGCTCGTGGATTAGGACTCTATGCGCATACTCCCTGGTTTCGTCGTCCATGGGGTCCTGGGCCCCGTCTGGTCGGTTAGGGCCGCTACTGTGCGGGGGCACTGCGTCACCGGGAGACCTGGTGGGCAAGAGCATCCTGTCTGTGTCGAATCCATTCGGGAGTTCCATGCCTATGTCGCAGTAGTGCGCTGCAGCGACCATGGCAACATATTCTAGACGCGCTAGTTGCCTTTCCGCTACGGAGGGATCATCCGCGTCCAATTTTTCCCTCCTTATACTGGGGTCATGGGTGATACTCGCGAAGCGGAAGGCGAGCACCTGCATCGGGTCTGGTTGCGCACCCCCGAGGCGCCCTTCGCGATCTCCTCCCGCGACGGACCAGACTAGCCAGGAGAGGTCCAAGATGGCGAGGGTTGGGGCCGAGGTGGCTCGTTGCGAACCGAGCCCAGGGAGGAGGGCTTCTGCTGGAGCCGCACGCAGCGGGCTGCCTACTCGCATGCCTGGGTGACCAGGGCGGTGCCCCCTCCACGCGTGGTGCGTGAGTAGCTCCAGGTTCCTGGTTTCGCGCGGTGTCCTCGGTGCCCCTCGATCGGGGATGTCGCGCCAGGGACCGTCGATACGCACTAGGTGGCGGCGGAGGGCGTTCATGGTGCCTCCCCCGCCAGTGACCCTAGCACCCGCGACACGCGGCCACGCATGGGTCCGTCAGCCTCCCGACTGGCTGCCCAGTCAGCGTTCGTATGCCCAGTGGCGTCCATCCATCGAGCGTGGAGGTCGGTTGCGTACTGCCCTCTGTCTCTATGGGCTTGGCTGGGGTCCTCCTCGGCTTCCGAGGGGGCGGCCTGGTTTCCCATCCGCAGTTCCTCCTCCAGGGCAAGGTCGGGAGAGGGGTAGGAGAGCGGGTCGGGCGTGACGGGCGCTCTGGGAGCCGCGCACCTCAACACGAATGGGGAGCCGTTGGCCGCCCTGATGAGGGGCCCCCGGTCCCGTCCCTGAGGCGGGTCTTCGCAGCCGTGGCCAACGCCGCACAGGGGGCCGTCTGGGCGCTCTAGCCCAGGGGGTGGGTCGGGAAGGGAGTGGATGGGAGGGGAGCGGGTGGGCGAGGGAAGGGAGACGCAAGGCGATCCCGCGACGACGATCGGAGGTCCGATGTGATCGATCCGATCGACCAGGGAACCTGTCCCGTCGGCGGGGTCAGCGAAGACCCTGCTGGCATCGGGCGCGTGGAGCCGTCCCATGGACAACTCCGTCGTCGTTCCCAGGGAAGGTCGGTCACGGTCGGTCGTCTCAGCAGAGGGGCGTGCCTCTCTGTAGCCCCTATTGCCGGGCCAACCTGTCTCTTGCTCGCTTCTTCCTGGCTGAAGGCCAGTCTCGTCGATGAGGTTAGCGGCGTGGAGGCTGGGCGCTGCTCCTGCGGCGGCGTCCATGCCTCCAGGGAGGGTGGCGGCGGAGTCAGGGCGGGAGCCGATTGATCTGCTTGTACTGCTGACTGCGCCTGCCGCGCGGTCTTCGACGTGCCTTCTCTGGGATGGCCCCGTTGCGCAGCCTGTCCCATCTGCGCCTACGTCAGCGGGGTCGGTCGATCGCCCGCAGCCGGCGTGGGGGTCCACCTGATGGGGGAGGCCCTGAGCGGATACACCAGGAATACCAGGAGGGTCGATGTCGTCTCCACTCGTGGTCACAGCCTCTGCGGCGCTCTCGGTTGGCGCTGTCTCTGGACCTCGAGCTGAAGGCTCGTCACTTCTGAGGTTATTCGATACGCCTTGGAGCCTCGAGCTGAAGGCTCGCTCCGTACGAGAATCCCGAGCTGAAGGCTCGCCCCATCCGCAACTGTCCAACCGGGGGGGGGTGGCTGACGAGAGTCCTCGGGGTTGCAGGAGTGGCCAGGGAATTGACTGGTCGCAGCATCGCCGTCGGCGCCACACAGTCCGCTTGAGGCGTCCCAAGCTGCAGACTCCCTCAAATCTGCTGTCTCGCTGAGAGCTCCACGGGCTGAAGGCCCGTTTTCTGCGTGTGCCGTACTGCCGCCTCCAGGAAGGGCGGCAGGCGCGCGGCGACACCCGTCGCCACTCGTGGTCACATCTTCTGCGGCGCTCCCGACGTCCATTGGTGCCGTCTCTGGTTCTCGAGCTGAAGGCTCGTCACCTCTGAGATTGCTCGATGCGCCTTGGGGCCTCGAGCTGAAGGCTCGTTCCGCGTGAGAGTCCCGAGCTGAAGGTTCGCCCCGTCTGAGGCTGCCTGACTGGGGGGCGGGCGGCGGACGAGAGTCCTCGGGATTACGGAAGTGACGAGAGAGTAGACTGGTCGCCGCGTCGCCGTCGGCGCCCACCAGTCCGCTTGAGGAGTCCCCGGCAGCAGACTCCCTCAAATCTGCTGTCTCGCAGGGCGCTCCAAGGGCTGAAGGCCCATCTTCTGTGTGAACCACTCTGCTGCATCCAAGGAGGGCGGCGGGCGTATGGCGACAGCCGTCTAGCCGTCTGCTTACGTCCGTGGGGGGAGTCGGCTGCACGGCTAAGACGCAGGCCTCCACGGTTACAGGGTTGGCCCCTTCGCAGCTGAAGGCTGCTTCTCTCGGCATTGAAGCGTCCAAGGGGGGGCGCTCGGCGGAATGGAGGCGCAAGCCCCTGGGATGCGAATCGGGTACAAGGGCAGGCGTCTGCCCGTCCCCCCTCCTGTCGCAACCGCAGTCGCCCTCTTGAGTGGCCCCAACCCTAGTCCCCCCGCCCTCGTCGGTGAGGCCCCTGGACCGGTCGTCGGGGGCGTCTCTCTGGCGGTCGCCCCTTCGCGACCAGAGCGGGCCTGGGTCCGTCGGGGGATTCACTTGTTCTGGAGTGGGGCCCTCGCCCCCCGTGATCCTGGTATCGCCGTGGGCGATCCAGCTCTGCCCTGCACCGCCAGGAGAGAAGGAAATTGGGCGCCCAGCCATGGGCAGAGGAAGGGTAGGGGTGAGGGAGGGAGATAAGTTCGGCGGGAGGGCGTCATTCCTGTCAATGTCAAACCCAGGGAAGCGACTGAAGGTCGCTATATCAGTGTGTCTCGCGGCGTTAAACGTGTCTCCCCATCTTCCCGTCTGGCTGAAGGCCATCGGTTCTCGTGCGCATGCAACGTCAACGGGAGCGATCACAGGGTCCGCGGACGCGTTCGGACCGCCCGTACTCGGGGGGTCCCAGGGGGCGAGGGGCGACGGCTGCCCTGGCGGGATGGTGTCCTGTGATCCAGGGGGAGGATGTCTTGAGTCTGCCAGTCCGTGGGCCCCCTGGCCGTCGACTGGGCTTGCATCGTCACCCGCGGAGTTCCCAGGAAACCTAGGACCGTCGTCGATCGGCCTCCCATCCATGCTAAGCCCGACCTGGGCCAAGCTGCTGCGAGGAGCCGTAGGCGCGGAACCCAGGGAGTCTGATATGGCCGGAGCGCGGCCCGGGGGGAAGCGCGCGGCCCGCAAACTCCTAGGGGATGCCCCCTTGAGCTGGGAGACCCGGCCGAGGAGCAAGGGCCCAGAGACGGCTTGAGCCAGTGGCTACGGACGCTGGTGGGGATACGCGAAGCGTCAAGAATTTCTCCGAGGGGGCCGCCGTGACTCCCGCTCTGCCGACTCATGAAACATGGAAGCATACGTAACATAATATTGCGTGCGTTCGACGTGCTGAGGTTATGATGCTTGCGTTGGTTGTGTTGCAACGCGGTGCAGTGCTTTGCTTTGGTGTGTTTCGTATGCGTTTCCTCTGCACTGCAATGGAATGTCATTGGTTGGCGTTGTGCAGCGTTGCTTCGTCTTGGTTGGCTTTCTTTAGTTTGCTGTGCATCGCACTTGTGTTGATTCGGGGGCTGTGCGTTGCCCTTTGCACTGTCTGGCATTGTAACGAATTGCAACTCACCGCATCGCAAGACATGGAGGAATATCTCGGAGAAAAGTGAACTCGTGTGAGGAAAAAAACCTGGGAGGGCATTTTCGAAGAGCCCAGCCTCGGGAGCCACTCGCCACAGGCCCTCTTGCACGTGAGAGGCGCGAACATCTGAAGCAAAGCCTCAATGGAGGAGGAGGAGGAGGAGGAGGAGGAGGAGGAGGAGAGCAGAGTCCACAATGGCAGCAGCACAAAAGAGAGGGAAGGAAGGGAATTGGCACGCCCGACATGGGTACGGGAGAAAATGGGCACAGCGCCTCACAGAAAGTGTTGTCCATCACCGACAGCGGCGGCTGTTGGGCGGACATCTGTTTGTCCTAAAGGGGCGACGCCCAGGGCGACACCGACAGCAAGGCAATTTCAAAATGGACAGGAACTGCTGTCGGCATTCGTCGCCATTGCTTCTGTACCAATTTCGATCGTACCGAGCGAAAGCGGACCCCGCCCCTCACCATGCCGCTGCGTCACGAGCACACCCGTGAGAGTTCGAGTGTCAGTGGCCCGGCTTCCAGTCCGCGCAGGCGCAGAAAAATCACAGGTCTCGCCGCACCGTCGGAAGAAGAGAGAGCGACAGATTGCGGAAGCGGACTGGGAGGACGAGGAGGACGAGGAGGACGAGGAGGACGAGGAGGACGAGGACGAGGAGAATGAAGCGCGAGGACGGAAACGAAGGAGCAGCAGTAGCAACGGGGGTGAGGAGGAGAAATGGCAGCAGAAGAGGCGGCAACGGCAGTAACACCAGATGCAAGAGGGCAGGAATATGGGAAGAGAGTGGAATGAACGGAGGGAAGGAGAAAGGGAGAGAAAGGAGGAGAAATGATAATAGCAGCAGGATGATGAAGAGAGAAGGTGAAGGAACGGATGGAGAAGACAGAGGAGGAAGAAGGCGACAAAGGACAAGGACAAGGAGGAGCGGAACGGGAAATCTCCCGAAAGTATGAAGAGACAAGGCGGCCGTGGCGGGCGCCTTCACGACAGCCTTTCGCACATAGATGCACGGGTCCGCCTCCACTGATGATATTTGCTGACTTGAGCTGTGGGGCCTCGCGCTTCCTCCTGACGATCCGACTACACCACGAAGCGGGGAGTGCTATCTGCTTCTGGTCCTGGGCCAGCCCCAGAACATTCACTCCCAAACTGGTCCCGTTCATCATCTGTTCGCCACACAACCAGTGTCACTCCATCACCAGGGCAATGCATGTCTGATCAAGGTGCCAAACTAAGCGTACTTCTCTAAAGAGGCATGGCGATGCAACTTCATCTCCATGGTAAACGACTACTGGTATACTGAAAGCGGGCCAGTCACACTGACTGAGCTTCAAGCAACCTGATCCTGCCAGCCCTGTGGGCGGAGGCGGTTAAGCGGATCGTATCTTCAAAGCCCACTTGTTCCTCTTCTGGGAGAGGCTGGCTCACCCCTCCCCCATACACCACATCGCAACACTTTCCCCCCCTGCCTAGCCACGCCTTCTGGGACCTCTTCCTCTTCGAGGCCTCTTGGGGGCCTTTTGGAGGCCTCTCGGGGGCCTCAAGGCCTCCAGGGGGGTCTTGGGGACATCGTGGGGACATCCTGGGTGCCCAAATACGGCTGCCGCTGTTGACCTCCACGCTACTTGGAAAGTGTTGGAGGGCCTCTTGGGGCCATTTGGAGGTCTCGAGGCCGTCTTGACGCCATCTTGTCGCTTTTAGGGCCCTCCTGGGGCTAATTTGGACCGTCTTGAGGCGATATTGGAAGCTTGGCCGTCTTGGACGCCCTGAAGATCGTAAAGGCTTAAAAGTCAAAAGCACACAAGAACTTTCAATGTATTTTCCCGCTTAAGGGTCTCTTGGGTGTCCTCTTAGGGCCGTCTCACAACGTCTTGGGAGCCTTGGGGGCCATTGTTTGGCCCGTCTCTGGAGAACACTGGGCCGACTTGGAGGCCATCTTGGATCGTCGTAGACATACTCAAGGCCGTCTTGGACCAGCATCTAGGCGGCCGTCCTGGGCCATCCCGGCCGTCTTGGAGGAGGCATCGGAGGCCGCCCTGGACCGTCGTGAGGGTCATCTTGGACCGTGCTGGGCCCAGAGCGCGCTGGTGCCAGGAAGAGGGGGGCGGCTGGAGTGGTTGGCCCGCTCTCGGTGGCGCGCAAACGTGGGTTAGCGATCCTAGAGGCCTCCTTAATGGGGTCGGAGTAGATGGGGTCGGAGGATCGCGCAGCATCGCCGATACATCGCCGATACATCGGCGATGCATCGGCGATGCATCGGCGATGCACTGGCGATGCATGGTCGGCGTCGGCGATAAATCCGAGACGTCGGCATGGAGAAAATCGGGCCCCACATCGAGCCGCATCGCCGATACATCGGCGATGCGGCGCGATCCTCCGATCCCGTCTACTCCGACCCAATCTAGGAGGCCTAAAGATCCATGGATTCGGCACGCGGTCGCCAAATCCATGGTCCGGGGGAGGTGCCCTCCACAAAATGCGGCCGGCGCCGCCTCGCTCGGCGGAGACAATGCGCGATTTCACATGGAAACGGAGCCCGTCGCTATCCACGCCCCCTCAATCCATGTTTGCGGTCGCCTGCCTGGAGTGGCTGGCCCGTTCCATCGAAGGGATTACCCCGCCCCCATCCCCCGCGCCAGGGGCCTGAATCGGCGGCACGCCCGGGGGGAAGTGAGAAGAGTGGCGGGCCTTCTCAGAAGGCTCGGAAGTCCCCCGACATTCTGAGAAGCTGTCTGAGCCATCCCCGAAGACACAAAAACTCATCGGAGGGCGCGAGGGTTTCAAAGAAGTCCCGCCACCTTCTGAGAAGACCTTCGCCTTCTCACTGCCCCCCCTCGCTCACCGCCGACTGAAGCAGGACTTCGCGAGCGGTCAGAGCGTCCAAGATGGCCACGAGGAGCTCCAGCATGGCCCCAGGCAGGGCAGCCCAAGATGGCTTCAAGATGCGGCTTAAGGTGGCTGCAGGGCCTCCCAAGCTTGCTGCCGAAAGGCAAATCACGATCCCAAACCATGCCTTTGTGCAGCTTGCCCTCTCGGCTTTTCCCTTCCGATGGGCATCTGAAGTCTCCAGATGGAACCGAGACCGCCCAAGACAGTCCCAAGAAGGGCCATAACGTTGCCCCACCTTGGGCACCCCAGAGCATGTCAGGAGGCGGAAGGGCTTCGGGCTCCAGTAGGGAGGGGCGCAACTTGGACCTCCCTCTTCTTGATCGATCGTCCCTGGATCTGTCCAGAAAGGCCTCGAGGCCTCAGACTCCCGGAGTGGCCTCGCACGGCCTCGGGCCAGGGCCCGTCGAGAGCGGACCTCGGGCCGTCGTGGGGGCCGCGGGGGGGCTGGCCCCGGGGAGGCCGCAGGCAGGAGAGCAGCGCGTGCCTGCAGTCAACCCGTATCCTGAGGACGCACGAAAATCGGGCGTTGGCAAAACTGGGTTTAGTGGAACCTGGTTTAGTGTTGCGTACCGGGGGGCGCCCCCCCCCCCCCCGCCCCGTTCCGCTAAGTGGAACTGCCGTCACCCGAAGAACGCCAGGTTCGGCAAACCTGGTTTAGTGATTCTGGCCAATTTCGGGGCCCCCGGACCCTACCACTAACCGGGTCCCCTTACCTGGGGTCCTGGCTATACCCGACAGAAGGGTGCAAGGGCCTCGGAAGGCCATCTGGGAGCTTTTCGAGCGGGGCGCGGCCAACGGAGCTGGCCAAGGCTGGGCCGAAGGGGCAGGGATACAAGGGCACCCTTGCTGTTCAAAATGAACTGGAACTGCTGTTGGGCATCGTGCCCATTCTTCCCGTACCCATTCCGATGGTCCCGACAAAAGGCCCCTGGGACCCAGGCACGGTGGCGGGATGGGCCGAAGGGCAGCCAGGTCCGCCGCCCCCTGTGGTCTTGCCACAGGGGTGCACGGCGTGCCAAACGCCTGGCGAGCTTCTCGTTTGTTTCTGAAGAACTCCACGAGGGGTCTCGGCCCAGCCCGCCGGCCACCCAGAAAGCTCCCAAATTTCGGTCTCCGTTGGCCCCACTGGCTCCGAGACGACTCAGATGGCCCAAGATGGCCTTCCAAATGGTCCGAAGAAGCCTCCAAGACGGCCCGAGAGGGTCCAAGATGCCTCTAAGTCCGCCGAATACCACCAAGACGGCCTAAGATGGCTCCAAGATGGCTCCAAGATGGCTCAAGACGGCCCAAGATGTCCCAAGAGGCCTCTAAGAAGGCCCAAGAGGCCTCCAAGAGGTTCTCCAGGAAGGTCCGAGGAGGCCAAAATCATTGAATGTCCGTAGGTTTGTTGACGGATGTTGGTATCTGCTTCTTTTCGGCCTTCCGACAGCCCAATATGGTCCAAGAGGCCCCAAGATCGACCCAAGATGGCCCAAGATGCCTCAAAGATGGCCCCTTATGACGGCCCGAGAGGCCCCCAAGACGGCCCCAAGTGGGTCCCGAGATGGCCCAAGAGGCCTCCAAGACGCCCAAGATGGCCTCCAAGACGGTCCTGAAGCGCCTCAGGAGGACCCCGAGTCCGTTCAGAGAAGCCTCCAAGACGGCTTTCGATGGCGTCAGACGAGCCAGGAACGCCGTAAAACGGCCCAAGAGGCTCCCAAGAGGCCGCAAAAGGCACCCAAGAAGACCAAGGAGGCCCCCAAGATGCCTCCAAGCGGCCCCCAGGAACCTACCAGGAGGCCCCTCGAGTGTCCAGAGGCTTCCTCCTCCTCCTCCTCCTCCTCCTCCTCCTCCTCCTCCTCCTCCTCCTCCTCCTCCGCCTCCTCCTCCGCCTCCTCCTCCTGCCTCCTCCTCCTCCTCATAATACTTCCTCTGTCTTCCTCTTCATCTTCCTCTTTCTCCTCCAAGAGTTCCCCCAAGCGTTCCCACAACGCCTCGGGAAAGACATGGTCCGATAGCTTGTCCAGGCTGAGGACACGCAGAGCTCGGCCACATCGGCGCGTCCAACAGGGCAGGGGGCGGCGATGGTTCGCCGTAGGCGTCTTCGGCATTGGCAGATCAGGTCAATTGAGAAGGCGAAAACCCACCCCCACCCCCATCCCCGAACCTGCGATTCAAGGAGTCGGAACTGGAGGTGGGGGTGGGTTTTCGGGGTCCAGGAATGGAGAAAACCCATCCCCACCCCCAGTCCCGACCCCTTGGACCGCCGGCTCGGGGATGGGCGTCGGGACTGGGGGTGGGGGTGGGTTTTCGCCTTCGGATCAATACTGCATGAGATTCGGAGCGTGCTCTCTGCCACACTTCTGAGGGAAGTCTCCTCGACTCTGCAAGCCCCGCCCGCCAGACGTCCGGCCAGGGCGGAGATGACAGCCTGGTCGTCCTCGGCGGCGCACTGCCCTGGCCACCGGGGAACCGAGCCACGGGTCGGCCGAGGATGGCCGGTGGACGCGTCTCCAACAGGCACACAACAGGGGGGCGGGGACGGCAGAGAGAGGTGGCGATAAGCGGGGAAGGGCAGATAGGGTGAACGAGAAATGGGGGAGGGGAAGAGGGGACGGAACGGGAGGAGCAGGGAGAGCAGGCAGGGGGAGGGGGGACGGAACGGAAGGAGCAGGGAGAGCAGGCAGGGGGAGGGGGGAGGTTGGGACAGGAGGGAGGGGACGGGGGGAGGGAAATGGAACGAGGGGCGGGGGACGGGCTGGAGGAGGAAGGACATAGGGGGATAGGGGGAAAGGGGGAAAGGGGGGAGGAGGGGGCTGGGGATCAAGAAGTGGACAAGGGGAGGAGGGCAGGAGGGGACAGGGGTAGGAAGGGAGGGAGAAAGCAAGGGACAGAGGGAAGGGGGAGTCAACAAGAAGTGAAGTATCCTATGTGGCTTCCCGCCCTCTCCCTCAGTCTCTCCCCTTCACGAATCACCTCCGTCCTGGTGGACTGGCCAGAGCGGTCACAGCCGTCTCCCATCTCGCCGCCCTGCTCTTACGCCAGACCTTCAGCGCCTTTCGACAAGCTAGGGGGCCACATGCGAACCCTACCCCTAGCCCCCAGGATTTCTGAGGGGGAGGGTGGGGTTCACTTCCTTCGGGAGCTCCCGAGCGAAGTGAACCCCACCCTCCCCCTTCGGAAATCCTGGGGGGTAGGGGTAGGGTTCGCATGTGGCCCCCTACAAGCACCGCGATCACAGAACGCCCTGCGCTGGAGATAGCAAGAGGAGGCCGGCCCAGGCTGGACGGCAGCTCGCCCTTCCGCACCGCGGCACTGCAAGGTCTGGCTCTGCAGAGGTCGGATCGGACGAGAGGGGTATCTGAAGGGGCCTTGGGACACACAAATAAATACACACAAATAAAAAGATTCCCCATATTTTCCCATATTTTCTGGATTTGGGTTTTCCCCCCCCACTTCCCATATTTTCCCATATTTTCAGGGGAATCGACGATTAATTGTGTCTGTGTGTTTCTTTCCCTCCTGAGTATCACAGGTTGGCGGCGCGCGCAGAGGGGGGCAATTCGGGGGGAGGGGGGAAGGTCTCTTAGAGGGAGCCTGCTTCGCGCCTTCTAAGAAGCAGCCTCCTGGGAAGCCGTCCCCCCCCATCCCTTGCCGTCGCTCGGACGTCCATTTCCAGTGCATTAAACGGTTCCGTGCGTGTTTGTTTTGCTCGATGGTCCAGGATGGTCCTCGATGGTCCTCGCCGAGAACAAAACGCACACGTCCGAGCGATGCCAAGATCCCCCCACACACCCCTCTGAGCTCGGGGATCTTCTGACCCGGGTCAAACCAGACCCGGGTCAATCAGGCCCTGCAGGATCCTGCGCCCATGACCCGGGTCAGTGCGCCCCCTGGCCCTGCAGGACCCTGCAAGATCTGGCGCATTCACCCCCGCTTCTTGAGCCCCGGGCCGCCGAGGGCGCCCCTGCATCGACAGAGAACGCGCCCGGCGGCAGGGCCGAGACCGGCCGCATGCAGCAGGTCGTCGCCGTCCACTTTGTCGTCGTCGTCGGCGTCGTCGTCGGCGTCGTCGTCGTCGTCGTCGTCGTCGCCGCCGCCACCGTCGTCGCCGTCGTCGTCGCCGTCGTCGTTGTCGTCGTCGTCGGGCGGCCTTCCGCCCCGCTCACCCCGCCCCTTTCCCTCTGCCCCCCTCTGTCGTCCGACCAGGACTAGACAAGCGCGTTCCGCTGCTCGCAAAGCAACTACTCGCAAAGGCGTGGATCCGCCGAGGGGGACTTACGTAGGGGAACGAAGCATGAAAAAAACATAAAAACTCGGAGGTCCGCGCGGATTTCCCGGATCCGCGCTGGACCCCCCTCCCTGGCGCGCGGAGCGCGCCAAGAGCGGCGCCGAAGGCGCCGCCATGGCGCCGATCCGAGAAATCCGCGCGGACCTCCGAGTTGTTGTGTTTATGTCATTGGCCGTTCCCCTACTTACGATATGTGTACATATACTACATCGAGGCAATCGCATGTTTTTGCTGACGTTGGCGAGAGCAGGCACGTTGCGAGTAGTGGAAGGCGCTCGGCGAAGGACTGTCTGCCTCTCGGTGAGGTCTGCCCCGCCTCCTCCCCATCCTCCCCGTCCTCCTCCTCCTCCTCCTCCTCCTCCTCCTCCTCCTCCTCCTCCTCCTCCTCCTCCTCCTCCTCCTCCTCCTCCTCCTGAGGAGGAGGCCCCGCCCGGATCGCGTGGCATCGACGGCCCACGACTCTGCCTGCGGCGCCACCAGGGCTGCCGACACGCCCCCGCGTGCGGCGGCGGACCGAGCCCACCGAAGGGCGCACGGCCTGCCGCCTGGCCACCGGGCCACAGCGCTGGGGCTGCAGCTCTCGGACGCCCTGCCGAGGCGGCACCTGCACTCGCACATGGCTTCGGAGGTCCAGGGAACGGCGCCGAACACGGCTCGCCACCCCGCACGAGGCGAGGGCGCAGCAAGGCAAGACCCAAGCCTTCTCCGACTGCGGCCCCGCGAGCGCCAACGACCGCGCAGGGCAGGGAGCAACACGCCTGACCACCGCCTGAGAATCGGCCTGCTTAGGTCGGTGGCGCCCAGCCTGCTGGTGACGAGGAGGACGGCCGCGCCGAGGCAGGAGCCGTGCTCTGGCAGTTGGCACACGCACTCCCAGGAGGACCCCAGACGTCACGATTTTGTCAGAACGTCGACCCCCGAGGGTCTCCACCCATTCCCCCGGACCGGCGTTTCATCCCGAACCCTTCTGTTGACAGCCCCGACAAGGCCCCGAAGCCTGGCAAGGGCCCTTAGAGGCCGAGGCTAGCGAAATGCCTTCCGCCGCGACTCTCCATGACTCGTGGGAGTCTGAGGCCGAAGCCGCGCGCGACATGGGGAACGTGAAGCACAGAAAGAGAAAAAGAGAGAGAGAGGGAGAGAGAGAGAGAGAGAACGAGAGAAACGGAGAGCGAGAGAGAGAGAGCGTCAGAGGGCGGGGGGAGATTCGGAAACCTGTGGCAACCCGTGAGGCACGGAGATGACCGCGGTTCGCGCGCCGCGATCCGGGCCAGAGTGGCTGCCTCTCTCCAGGGTGGCAGCGCGAGGGGCGCGAAGGGCCGCGTCGGGGCGCATGGCCCGCCGGCGGGCCGCAGGGCTGCACCGGCGTCTTCCTCGCCCGTTTCCTGCACGAGGGCTCTCGGCGACGTGGGCTCTGGCCGCGGGCGGCCGCTCGCTCTCGTGGATGCCCGCCGCCCCTCCGCCTCCCATGCCCCGTGCCCGCCGCACCCCCTCCTCTCGGCCTCGTCGCCCTCCCTCCCTCCCGCTCCCCCGCTCCACCTCGCCCCCCTCGCCACCGTTCCCTCGCTCCATGGCGTCGCCCCCCCTTTCCCCCCCCTCGGCACACACACGCACACACACACACACACCCTCGCCCCCCAGCGCCGGGGGGACTGCCAGCGGCTAACCTTGCACGGCTTTCCCCCTAGAGGCCTCCCGCCTCCCGCGCACTGGCACCCACCTGGAATGTCCACTTTCCCTCACGCTTCCCCCTCCGACCCCCCGCGCCCCTCGCTCCCTCTCTTCCCCCTCCTCTCCTGCCCTCCCAAGGTAACTCTTGCGTGGAGGGGTCAGAATTTGGGATGACCCAGGGGGAAGAGGAGGAGGAGGAGGAGGAGGAGGAGGAGGAGGAGGAGGAGGAGGAGGAGGAGGAGGAAGAGGTGGAGAGAGAAGCAAGATGAGGAAGAGGAAGAGGAACTACAATTGCGGGCGGCATGGGTGAAAAGGAAAGGCGTTGCGGCAGCGGTAAAAGGGGGCATAGCAGAGCGGTGGCCTCGTGACTTTCAAAACCGCATATAGTTTGCGGGACCGCTGTGAGCCAAGTGGCAACGGGCGCGCGCGCGCTCCTATTCGAGCCGGGGCCACCAGGCAATGGACGGTGTCCCTCCGCACCAATAAGGCCACAGACGGCCCCCCGCAATGAGGCGCCGGAGAATTCACCGCGCAGCCTCCGCAAGGGGCGCTCGGCACAACTCACCCGTGGCTCAAGAGCTGCGGCCCGATCGGAATGTCGTGAGCCTTGGACAGCCCCGTCGGTTCGTCCGTGGTCAACTCACACGTGGGACGAGCTGACCACGACCAGGGTCACGAGTCGCAACGGCACCCCACAGCAGGAAGAGCCCAAATATTGGCTCCTTACCCGGGGTGGCGTCGACTGGTCGACGTCGCCTGACAACCCAGAGGTGCGTGCTGCTTTTGGGGGCCAGGCACTGATCGTGCTCGGCGTGCGCTCGAGCCGCAGCACCGATCGTGCCTTCCAGCCAGGTTCGCTCCTTGGCTCTACTTCTGGCACACTGCTGGCGCGGCCGCTCGCCTTCGGCACTCTTCTGTGAATAGGTGCCGGCGGGCGCAGGTGGCCGTTGCGTCGCTCGCGCGGCTGCGCAGCGAGGGTGCACCCGCGCGCCTTGCATCGCGCGCGCGCCGATGCAGCGCGTCAAACTGTTTGCGGCAATGCGCCTCTTATTGCTAGCGCTTACCAATTGCAGCTGATGACTGGTCCGCGCGTTGGCCCGGCGACATCTGAGCGGCACCGACGCGGCGCGCGCTGCCTGGGCGCGGCCAACAGCAGCGCAATGTCGCAGGCGCCCGCCACGGCCGTTCGCATCTGCCCCAGTCGGCAGCACAGCGTGGACAGTGCGCCAGGCCACCGCGACGCACGCCGGCTAGTCCGCGATGGCGACGCAGCACTGACCTCTGCGGCGGCGCGCTGTCTCGCCGGCACCTTGCAGTTGAGGCGACGCCGAGGCGCCAAAGCTACGCGCGCGCGCGGCACCCGTCGAGCGCCCGGCGCGCGACGCCCGCCAGCGCTTCGCGACGAGGAATTCCACGTCGTTGCCCACGCGGCGCCCATCTACGTCGAGACAAGAAGGGCCCTTGCCATTGCGGAAAGGCTGGCCGGAACGGCTGCTCGGTGGCGCTCGTGTCGAACGAGATCTGTCATGGGCGCGCGGTCGGGTCATCCTCGCGGCGCTCGCCGCAGCCCAGTCGCCAAGCGTCTTGCAGCTGACACATCGGCCTCAGACATGCCCACGCCCATCGGCACGCGGCGGCGGCCGTCTATATGCACGCGCACTCGCGCTGCAGCGCGCGCCCAGGAAGGCAGGGGAGGCGTCGCGCCAGGTGGAAGGGCGAACGCGCCCCGCCGGCCCGTTGCAGGCGCGGCAGGGTTCGCGCCAGCAGCGGCCGCGCGAGGTCAGCAGCTTCCGCCAGCTGTTCCTGCCCAAGAGATGCGGTCGAGCACAGCCATGACGACCGCGTTGTCACGCGCGTCGCTGCCAGGCCCGCGACGGCGAGCCCGGCGGCGGATGTCACATGTTTAGCGATTCTGGGCGCGACCTCGCCAGCAGCGCCCAGGGGCGGGCACCGCCGCGCGCGTCGACGCGCTCGCGCGCAACTGTCCGCGCGAGGACACTGCCACGATAACACGCCGACAATGCGCAGACGCACGTTGGGCAGCGCAGCGCCGCCCCCGAGCCGTGGCCCCCGATGGGCGGCCACAGCCGACGTGGGAGCGACGAGCGAGGGGGCCGACGTGGGAGCGACGTGCGAGGAGTAAGTGTGGCATGTCACCCAAGGCCCGGCACCGCTGCGCACTGGAGCTGCACTGGCGCGCCGAACCCATTCTCGGCAAAATCGGACATCTCCCAGAGCAGCTGCACGCTGGCGCCCGCGATGCGGCCCCTTGTACGGGACCATCAACTCCTCGCTGGCCTCCGTTGGCCACGATCTCGTCCGCGGCCTCCTGGGGGCCGGCAACCTAGGAGGTCGCCATCGGCATGGAGTCCTTCACGGTGTCGATCACGGCGGGCTTCGCGGGGCAGATATTGCCCACTCGCGGAAGGATCAGCTCAGGACATCTGCCAGACGGCGCGCACGAAGGAGCGCACGTCATTCAGCTTATCGCACGTGTGGTGTGGGGTGGACGCCATCACGAGGTGATATCTAAACTGAATCAACTGCACTACCCAACAGGCATGATACAAACATCATGTGGGAGTGAAGAGCCCTCCGCCGCACGAACATTCCATTCGACTGCTCCACTCTGTGCGCCGACCCCGCGGCACGACGACGAAGCCCGAGAGCAGACCCAGACCGCGGAGACGGAACACCTAGCGAGGCCCGGGGACCCCCCGAGACAACCGGCGAGCCCCAGACGAGACGGCCCCAGACCCACCACGAGAATTTCGAGCCGAGCCCAAACGCCGCGGGGCTGCCTTCACGACTGCGGGCGCTCACCTGTGGGCGGCGATGCCGACGATGAACTCGGGAGCGCTCCGCTGTCGCCTATGGCTGCCCAGTTGATCTGTGGGCCAGTCGGCACGGCGCCTCTCTGTGCTCCAGCGCCTCGAAGGAGGTCAGCATCCCGAAACAGCCGTGCTCGGGTTTCGTTCCTCTCCCAAGGCGCCGCAATTGCGATCCCCCCGTCCTCGACCGTCGACTCCTGGAGCGGCGGGCTGAACGGGACGAACTCCGACGCCGAGCTGCTGAGGGGTGTGGGCGCCTTCACCTGCGCAGCTGCCAACACGGCCTCTGCGGCCGCGAATTTCACAACTGAGAGCCTCGCTGCACGGGCCTCAACCTCGGACGAGCTGGCGATCAGAGTGCCTCCAGCCTCGGCATCAGCTTCTGCCCTCTGGGAGGTGCCCTCGTGCGACATGGTGAATAAGAGAACTCCATCCTCCGCCACGGCTCCAACCGTAGGGCTCTCGGTTTCATCAGCATGTGCTCCGCTCCGGTCGCTGGCCTGCGCCACGAGAAGCGCGTCCCAGAGGGCGGCCCCCAGCCGCGTGGGTCGGCAGCCGCGGTACTCCATGCCGCTGTAGGCGGTCAGCAAGGCCTGAACGGCCCGAGCCTGCGCGCGGACCGCCTGGGCACGCCCCTCGGCAGCCGTCCGGCGAGGGCGCTGCGGGCGCCCCACCGTCGGGCACCATGGCGGCGCCACCATTTCGCGGCCCGGGGAGTGGAGACGAGGAGAGCGGACGAGAGGACGGGCGGGGAGGGCAGCGGCCCGGGGGTCGCCTGGCGCGGGCTCGCTGACCCCGCCCAGGCGACGGCCAGATCCGAGCTGGCGCTGGAGGAGGAGGAGGAGGAGGAGGAGGAGGAGGAGGAGGTGGAGGAGGAGGAGGAGGACCAGTGCAAACTCAGGACTCCACAACCATGTTGGATAAACCCTCCATCCGAGCTCTCTCTTCACAGACCCCATACAAAAGATAAATTTCAACTGAGGGACTCGCCTCGTTGGGAGGCATCCCATTGAAGCCTCTGAAGCGTGCCAAAACAGCATGATCGGGACTCCAACGCCACGAATCATCCTGATTGCTGCGTCTTGACGATCATGGGACTTCAACACCGCGAGTCAACGTAACTCTTCCGCCCTCCCAATCCTGAGTACTTCCAAAACATCATTTCTGGTACGTTGGCCATGGGAATCCGTTAACCCCTTGCATATGCTTAATGCGCGCGGCGCAAAAAACGAGAACCACTTGTTGCAAAAGAACCGCCCTCAAGCCGTGAAGCTCTTGGGAATGTTCAAGACGACTGTGCGCGGCGCTAAGGGAGAGCCACACTTTGAAACGATCAACCCTCAATCCATAAAGCCGTGCATTGTTATAACACGAATACGCGCGGCGCCGAGGCGGGAGCCACTGGTGGAAAACGACCCACCCTCAACCCGTGAAACTCTTGCAAATGTTCAAAACGAATGTGCGTGGCGCTAAGGCGAGAGCCGCATTTGGAAAACCACCCGCCATCAACTCGTGAAACTCTTGCAAACTTGGAGAAAGAATGAGCGAAACGCTAAGGCGAAAGCCACAGTTTGAAAACCACCCGCCATCAATCCGTGAAATTGTTGCCAACTTCTGAGCTGCAGGGTCATTAATGGTGATGAAATCTCAAGCGAAACGCCGGGCCCGCCCTTTCGACCGGCCTCGGGGTGCGACAGGGATAAGGGATTCATGAGGAAAAGACTTAAGAAGGAGGAGGAGGAGGAGGAGGAGGAGGAGGAGGAGGGAGGAGGAGGAGGAGGGGGCGGCGGAGGAGAAGGAGAACGAGGAGGAGGCACGAGGAGGCACGAGGAGGCACGAGGAGGCACGAGGAGGCACGAGGAGGCACGAGGAGGCACGAGGAGGACCAGGATGAGAGCCCACGCCCGCCACGCCGCACCTCCGACCGACCCCCCCCCCGCACGCGCGCAAGACCCCCGGGGCGAGGCGCGCCGAGCGCGACCACGGCGGCGAAGCGCACGGGGCCCGCGTAGTCGCCGAGCTGGCCTCCGTGGGTCGCCCCCGCCCCCCGCGCGAGCGAAGGGGCCCCAGAGGGCGACGACGACGACGACGACGACGACGACGACGACGGCGGCGACGACGGCGGCGGCGGCGGCGGCGGCGGCGGCGGCGACGACGACGACGACGACGACGACGACGACGACGACGACGACGACGGCGGTGGCGGCGGCGACGACGGCGGCGGCGGTGGCGGCGGCGGCGGCGACTGTCATGGCCACTTCCACGGCCACGGCGACGGCCACGGCCTGGCAGTGGGGTAGAATTGCTGCGCCGCTCTCGTGGGACATCCTCATTATCGGGTTTCGAGACTCTCTGGCCCAGGCCGAGGGAGTGCGAGAGCTGACTCCCCTGAACCCGAGATGCAGCGACCCACCAGTCTGGCACCGCAGGGCGACGATGAGACGCCGCGTAAAAATCAGACGGGGCAGTGCTGAACCGGCGCCATACGGGCACCCAAACGGACCCTCGCATCTCCCTCGGTGCTGGCAAGCGCACAGCAGCCGTCGTCACTCCCAGAGCCCCTTGGTGAGTCCAGCAGGGCAGCGCGACACGTGTACCCAAAACGAGACCTTGCCGAACCAGGTGCCGAAATACGTACTATCCCATGAGAGTCTTTAGATATCCCCCCAATCGGGAGTGGCTACTTATTGATTCGGCGACCTTATTGACGGACTGTGGTTACACCAATAGCGGAAAATAATGATTCATCCGCGGCACCCGCCGCGCAACGACGACGAAGACGACGACTACGACTACGATGACGACTACGACCACGACGACTACTACTTATGCTTCAGGAGCGTTCTCATGGAAAATCCTAGCTCAGAAACTCGACCCTCAGAAACTCCATCCTCAGAAGCTCCATCCTCAGAAGCAGAAGGAGGAAAAGAAGGAGGAGGAGGAGCAGGAGGAAGAGGAAGGACCAGTTTATTCACCGCCGACACAAACAGGAGGGTGGATATCAAAACAAAAGACCATCGGAGGCTACGGGCATTCCATCAGGACCTCGCTGCCAACATAAGCCTGCTGCCACTTCCGGAGTCCCCGGGGGTCCAGCGGTGCGGCGCGACACAGGGCTCCTCGATGCGACCCCTTACCTGCGCGGCGAGCAGGGACCAAGAGGCTCGCGAGAATGGCTTCTTGTCCTTCCCCTCCTCCTCCTCCTCCTCCTCCTCCCTCCCTCCCTCCCTCCCTCCCTCCCCCCTCCCTCCGACACGGCAAAATCACCTGGAGCCCGGCGCAGCGCTCCCTGGCGCGGCTTCCGGTGAGTCTCGCCACCCCCCGAGGTGCTGCCCGATGCAGAGCCACGCCCTGAGCCCCTGAAGAGTCCAGCGGAACGGTGCCCCCCGGCGAGTTACTACCAGAAGAAACGCCAGCTAAGCGGAGAAGCCCCATATTGGCCCCCAAAGCTCATGGGTGCACGAAGAGCACTAGACAGGAAGAACCGTGGAAGGACCAAAGGAACCGCGAGCCCCTTCCGAATCCAATATGCTTCTTATTTCAGCGTATTGGCTGCACAGAGACCCACACGAGAACTCGTCTCCACGGGTGCTGCCAAACGTCTCGGGAGAGTTGGGCACAGACGGGTCCTATCGGTGAACTCGGCGGCTCCCTCGAGCGAATCAGCAGCTCTTCCACCGCATACCAGACCAACAAGTATCGACAACCCCAAACTCGTCATTCACCGTTCGAGGAACAAAAAGCGATAAAAATAGAATTCCTCGGAGGTCCGCGCGAATTTCCTGGACCGGCGGCGGGCCCCCCATCCCTGGCTCGCGGAGCGCGCAAGAGGGGCAGCGGCGGAGTCGCCACCAAGAGAGTTCAGCGCTGATCCCAGAAATCCGCGAAGTGAGCGTTTTCATATTCGGCGCTTCGACATTGGGCGGCAAGGGGGGAGAGGGGGGGGGTCTGGCTCTGGACCTCTGCCGAATGCGACTGTTTGCAGCAGTGCGTTCTGTGGGGGAGGCTCCACCTGCTGGAAGCCGGCGCCCAGAACAGCCGAGATCTGCTCCAGGGGGGGGGAGGGGGGTTGCGAGGGCCCGCGACCGATCGGCAAAGCAATGAACAAGACAACGATCAAGAAGGCCTCCAGTAAACTACAGTCGGGGTCCTGAAGAAGGAACCCTTTTCGTTGGGGAGGGGCTCCGCGTTCCTTAAGTGTTTCGCAGCTTGCCTCAGGCTTTCCTTATGTTTTCGACAGGAAATCGAAGGTTCACTTATGGAAAAAAGGGGCCTCGTTCCTTATTTAGGGTTCCTTAGGTCAACGCCCCGACTGTATGCTCATGCCGCTATCTGCTCTCCGAGCCGTCCTCGCCACTGGTCGTCGCCGTCGACGCCGTCGCCCTTGCCCTCCGCGCGCTCTCCCCCCCCCACGGGCGCCTGTCAGAGCGGCCACGGCCTGCGCGCTGCCGCGCTCGACCTGGGGGGGGGGGCTCCAACGATCCACCGACGGCAGGCTCGTGCCGCGCCGGCCCCGCCGTCGGCTCCTGGCACCTCGGGGATCGCTCAACCTCGAAGGATCGGCCGCTTCCGAAACGTCCGATCGTTCAACATGTTGAGCAGGGACCAGTTGCCGCGGCACTCCTGGAAGCCCACCACGACATCCTCTCAGAACACAAACACGTTCGAAGAACAGAACCAATGTTCTTCGAACAGAAGCCCCATGTGCCAAAACGGGACAGCCCCAGCAAGAGATGCTCTAAGAACATCTCGCGCAGACCACAAAAGGCTCTTAGCATACTATTTGGTGGGCCCATAAAAACGCCAGGACGCTTCGCCACTGCTTGAACATCGACCGATTCTGGGTCGCTGGAGGCGTTCAAGGTCGAACGCCGGCACGCCGCGGACCTGGCGCACAGCCGCCTGCGGCCGCACAGAGCCTGGGCCCAGAATCGGCCCCGCCCAGGCCTCCGCCGCGCAGCAGGCCTGGCAAGCCCACCGGGACAACCCCGAACAGAAAAGAAAAGAGAGATCATGCGCAGGCCCGCGCTGGGCCTCCACCCCACGCCCAAGACGAGGCCAGGACGAAGATCCGCTGGCCCCCTTGTGGGGCCACCAGGCTGTAGGCCGAAGTTGCTGCTCCCTGCACCCGTTGCAGCTTCAAGTCTCCAATGTTACAGTCCTGCTTTCTGCTTCCTACTGTAAATTGTCGGGCCCCGGCCCAGGTCTCCTCCGCCCAGCAAGCCTGGCAAGCTCACGGGGCAACCCCGAATACCAAAAAACAAAAAAATCGTGCGCAGGCTCGCGCAGGGCTTCCACCCCCCGCCTAAGACGAAGCTAGGACGACGACACCATAGTGAGACGAGAAAGGTCGAGAAGCCCTGTGATCCAGCGGCGCTCCGGAGGATGCCTCGGGCGCGCCGCGGCCTCCTCGGAGCGCCCCGGAACTCCCCGAGGACGTTCCAGGACACTCTGGAGCGGAGCTGTCCTCGTCCCAGCCCCGTCCGAGCGGCCTTCGACGTCCTTGAGGGTGAACATAAAACTCGGGTCGTGAGGAGTCGAAGTTACCTGACGGAGCCGTCAGAAAAATCACGGGATGCAGGAGCTCAAATTGGTTGGAAACCACATAACGCGCGTTACTCTGTGCCCCTCAATAGTTCTGGGGGTACCTGTAGTCCGGGGACGGTACCTGTAGTCCGGGGGAGGGGTACCTGTAGTCCGGGGCGGGGTACCTGTAGTCCGGGGGGGGGTACCTGTAGTCCGGGGGAGGGGTACCTGTAGTCCGGGGGGGGGTACCTGTAGTCCGGGGGAGGGCGCGCGCGGGGGTACCTGTAGTCCGGGGGGGGGGCGCGCGTTCACGCGTCAAAGCACGCGTAAATGTCTACGCGCGCGAAACTGCACGCGCATCGTTGCACGCGCCACGCGCGCACGTATACACATGCGCGCACACGCTCGCACGCGCGCACACGCAAAAGCACGCGCGCATGCACGGAAGCACGCATGCAGACACGCGCGCTCACGCGCAACACGCGCACACACTCGTACCACGCGACACACACACGGGAGGGGTGTATATATATACATATATATATATATACATAAATATATATGTATATATACACCCCTCCCTACCTCCCTCTTTCTCCTGCTCTGTCTCTTTCTTTTACTTGTTATCGTTATCTCCCCCCCTGCGTTTCCATTCGTCCCTCGCGAGTGCCCCGCTTCGGGCTCCGACCCAGCATTGGCGAACTGCGCCTAAGTAGCATGGGCGGCATTGGGCAGAAACACTCCAGGCGGACCGTTTCGGCTCGGAGGGGGTAGACAACTCGGGTGGCCGTGTAGCTTCGGGGGGCACATGAAGCTTCGGGGGGGTACCTGTAGTTCGGGGGGGGGTACCTGTAGTCTGGGGGAGGGTACCTGTAGTCCTGGGGGGGGTACCTGTAGTCCGGGGGGGGGTACCTGTAGTCCGGGGGAGGGGTACCTGTAGTCCGGGGGAGGGTACCTGTAGTCCGGGGGGTACCCGTAGTCCGGGGACCCAGAACTATTGAGGGACACAGAGTATGTGGCTGGGTGGGTGGGTGGGTGGGTTCGCTGGCACAAAACATAACACGTTGCGCGCGCACTACGAACAGCATACCCGTGCGCTAAACAACAGGCACTGCTGCAACGGGGGTGGGTGAAGCGGAGGGCGTTACGTTAGCTACTGGGTGGGAGGGTGGGTTGGAGACCACATAACGCGCGTTATGTGTTCGAGCTTCCATATCTACATCTGCCGGCCCCCTTGTGGGGCCACCAGGCTGTAGGACCGTGATTCGCAGTTTCCTGTACCAGTTGTAGCTTGTAGTTTCCAGTGTTACAATTCTGCTTCTTGCTGGTTACTGTAACTAGTTGATTGACCGCGCGAGGGGGGGGGAGGCCCAAACGGGATTTTTAGCACCCCCTGGGCGCGTTGTCTGAATTGCTGGGGGAGCTCGAAATCGACACCCCTCACGCAGATCCGCGGGGTCAGGGTCCAAAAACACAGGGATTTGCCACATTTCTGAAATTCGGTGCCACCCCTCACGCAGATCCGCGGGGTCAGGGTCCAAAAACAAAGGGATTTGCCACATTTCTGAAATTCGGTGCCACCCCTCACGCAGATCCGCGGGGTCAGGGTCCAAAAACACAAGGGATTTGCCACATTTCTGAAATTCGGTGCCACCCCTCACGCAGATCCGCGGGGTCAGGGTCCAAAAACACAGGGATTTGCCACATTTCTGAAATTCGGTGCCACCCCTCACGCAGATCCGCGGGGTCAGGGTCCAAAAACACAAGGGATTTGCCACATTTCTGAAATTCGGTGCCACCCCTCACGCAGATCCGCGGGGTCAGGGTCCAAAAACACAGGGGATTTGCCACATTTCTGAAATTCGGTGCCACCCCTCACGCAGATCCGCCCCAAAAACACGCATTTCTGAAATCCGCAGGGGTCAGGGTCCAAAAACACATGGGATTTGCCACATTTCTGAAATTCGGTGCCACCCCTCACGCAGATCCGCGGGGTCAGGGTCCAAAAACACAGGGGATTTGCCACATTTCTGAAATTCGGTGCCACCCCTCACGCAGATCCGCGGGGTCAGGGTCCAAAAACACAGGGGATTTGCCACATTTCTGAAATTCGGTGCCACCCCTCACGCACATCCATCGCAAGGCGTGGTAACCCAAACTGCGAGTACTCCCTCGGCCCTTTAATCCCAAGGTGTGGTAACCAAGCTCGTAAACCATACACGTCTTACCAATCGCCCTGTGTGGTAACCCCTCTTGTGATCAGTTGGTTTTGCCGATTGCGAATCGGCCTCGCATGAAGTTCCGATACTGCTGCACGACAGCGCCAAAGCCTCATGACTTAGCTCTTCCATGGCCCATTCTCCGAGAGAGGGGGCCGGCGGCAGGGGGCGAAGCCCTTACGGATATATATATATATATATATATATATATATATAAGAAAGCACAACAACAAAACAAACAAACAAACAAACAAACAAACAAACAAACAAACAAACAAACAAACAAACAAACAAACAAACAAACAAACAAACAAACAAACAAACAACAACAACAACAACAACAACAACAAAAAAAAAAAATCTAGCCCGAGATGTGACGCCCAGCAGGCCTGCCCAGATTCTGGCCGGGCGGCCGCTCTGCGCGGGATCGCCGCAGTCAAGGTCGGGCATGTCCCTCTACAGCCTGGGCACGATCCTTTGACTATGCTCGACTATTTGGGGGCATCTGGGGGTGTTTCTTATTCTTCGTCCAAGCTCCGCCTGTAGGAGGACTAGGGGGCCACATGCGAACCCTACCCCTACCCCCACGATTTCTGAGGGCGAGGGTGGGGTTCACTTCGCTCGAGAGCTCCCGAACGCAGTGAACCCCACCCTCCCCCTCAGAAATCGTGGGGGGTATGGGGTAAGGTTCGCGTGTGGTCTCCTGAGGACATGCCCGACCTGACGCTGGCGCTGCCCGCATCCCCGGCCCGCATCCCCGGGCTAGCGAGCGCTGGGGAAGTCCCAGGGGGGGGGGGGAGGCGGAGGGGGGGGGGGGGGCACGGGCGATCCCATGCAAGATCCCATGCAAGGGATCGCGCATGGGAGCAGCTGGGGTAGCCCAGGGGTGGGGGCACGGGCGATCTCATGTTGCCCAAATTTAACTAAATTGATTTCGATGTATTTTGATGTTGGTTTCGATTAAACTAACTTGACTTCGATCGTATCCGGTCTGATCCCCACCAGTCGATCGGCGAAAAAAGTCGCCAAGCCCTCATACGCTGGAGGGCCCTGGCGCACCAATCCCGTGCCCGTGGGCCCTAGCCTCCGCCCTAGCCCCTCTCTCTGGGTCCTATCGTACGGCAGGTTCGTGTCGTGTCGACCCCGGCGTTGGTTTTTGACACCGCGGGGATCGTTCAACCTTGAACGATCGGCCGTCTCCGCAACGTCCGATCGCTCCACATCGATCGATTCTGGGTCGCCAGCGGCGTTCAACCTTGAACGCCGGCGTCGGGGTCGCCGCCGGTCGACATGACGCGAACCTACCGTATCCCAATGGCACGGGCAGCCCATGCTTCCCCCTGCTCGGGGCAGGAGCGCTGCCCGCACCCCCTGGGCGACCATCTGGCCCACGGCGCGCGCGGCGGCGTCGCGGACTTGCCAGCTGCGGGGGGGCGGGCCGCGGGCACGCGCGCGGAGCTCTGCGGAGGGCGCGCGCGGGGTGCGCGGGAGGAGGCGCGCGGAGGGCGGAACCTGCGGAGAGGGGGGGGGGGGGGGGGGGCAGGGCACGAGGGGAGTGGGAGATGGGGGGGGGGGAGGGGGAGGAGGCGGCGGGGGGGGGGGGGGGGGCACACAGGAACAGCCCACAAGAGGGTGAAGGGGGGGGAGGGGGGGGGGGGGGGGGGCAGCGGGGCGACGGGGGCTGGCGGCGCAACGAGCGGGGCTGAGCAAGGTGCGGGGGAAGGGGAGCAGGCGCAGGGCCCGGGGGGGGAGAGGCGAGACAAGGCAGGACCAACCGCGAGGCGAATCCGCACCTGAAGTGCGCCAGAACCGTTTGCTCAGCCTTGGTGAGCGGGGACCGCACGCGGGAAAACAGCACCAGCAAACAGGACAGGAAGAGCAGGAGGAGGACGCGGCTGGACTATACTGCGTGGAATCCATGAATGCTATCGCTGCAAACGCTCATGCCCCACGCATTCGAAACGCGGGAAGGGCACCGAAGTCTGAGACGCACAACTGTGTTTCACCACCTGGCTGGACGGACCCGCATGCCTGGGGGACCCACAAAAACGATATTGTTACTCACCGCCCTCTCCTGGGGTGCGTCCTGACAAAGATTTCGACGCGAATCCGGCCGTGGTGACGAGGGACGGGATGCAGATTCGGTATCTGCTCCTCCTCTGAATACTGCGATTTCCAAGGCATTACTGGCCAATGTTCACTCCGGGCCTTCCTCAGAGCAACCCAGACGCCCACTAGATCGCCCACTATTTTTGATGGTTGCCGATTCTCTGCTAAAGAATCAAAACCGTTGTCCAACCGATTGCCGATTGCAAATAGGGTGCAAAATTGGCACGGGCCCTGCCGTCGGAGTTGACGCGCTAAATGCGCGATGCGCTCGCCGCGCGATCACCACGGCCAAGGCGGTCGTCCAAACGGCGCGCGCCATTGCTGCTCGGGCCCACGTCCCCGTTTCCCTACCCCTCCTCCCCGCCTCTCGCCCCTGTCGCCCGCCCAACCCGCTCGCCCGCGCCCCCAAACCCCCCTCCCTGGCCACCCCCGACGGACCCCGCCCCCCGTCGGCCGGCAACCGGGACTGCAGCGCAGCGGCAGGGCCTCCCTTGAGAGGGCCAGACGGGCACTGGCGGGGCTCGCGGAGCGGGCAGGGCACAAAGCCTGGTGCAAGTGGGCACGCGAGGAGAAAGGGGGACCGTCGGGAACAGGAGGAGAAGAACGAACGAACGAAAAGAAGCTGCCGACGCCGGGAGTCTGGCGACCCTACAAGGGCGGCAGGCGCGCCAAACGCGCTGGCCTCCGGGGAGGCCGGGTAGCTGATCAGCTGCGAGACAAACACATGCAGCCACACGCTGCTGCGAAGAAGCCAAACGCTCCCCGCAAGATGATGAAGATAGATCGATGCCGAAGGAGGAGAGGAAGGAGGAGCGAAGGAGGAAGGAGAGGGCACTCGGGGAAAATCAGATCCCCACTCAGGACGCCAGCAAGAAGAAAGGGGGACGTCGGGAACAGGAGGAGAGGAAGGAGGAGCGAAGGAGGAAGGAGAGGCCACTCGGGGAAAATCAGATCCCCACTCAGGACGCCAGCGCGGGGCGCGACCCCTCAAGGGGCGTCCGCGCGCGCGCGCCCCAAGGGCCGCAGGGCAGCGCGAGGCACGCGGGGCCCGCCAGCGTGGCCAGAGCGGGGCCCACAGCTGCCTGCTGGCGAGGGAATCCCACGCGAAACCTTCACTGTTAGCTCTCCTCCCAAATCCTCCTCCCCATTGTTTTAAACATTGGCCGCGCAAAAAGGTCTCGCAGGCCGCTCCCAACCCCCTTGTTTGATCGCATTGCCCTGGTCCCCGAACAGGAAAACGATCGGGCGCGGTGTGATCGGAAACAGGTGGCCACACACACACACAAAAAAAACAAAAACAAAAACAAAAAAAAAATGAAAATCTACGGCGACCAAATTGAGTGGCCACGCCAAGTCAAACTAGTAGACACATGTCACCACCGTGCCTCTGGGCACGGAGTGGGCGTGTCCTGAGGTCCTCGCACTACCACTCTGAGCCTCACTCGTCACTCCTGAAGAGTTCTGCAAGGGGTCGGAGCCCCTCGTCTCAAATCTCCAAAGGCGCAGCGCGGTCTGTCGCGTGTCTTTCTCGGGCCCAAGAGGACCCCAAAACGGACCAAGAGGGCCCCAGGAAGCCCCCAAGACGGTCCAAGAAGGCCCCGAGTCGCCGAACGATCGCTCCAAGACGCTCAAGATGGCCCCCAGACGGCCTAAGAGGCCTCCACGACGCCCAGAGAAGCCTCCAAGAGGCCTCCCAAGAGGGCCCCAAGAGGCCAAAATCATCGATTCGCCTAGAAAGTGGTTGTGGTTGAAGGATTTGGGCGTTCTCGCCTTTTCTGTTTCCCGACGTCCCCAGACAGCCATAGAGGCCCCCAAGACCGCCCCCAAACTGCCCAAGAGGCCTCCAAGAGGGCCCCAAGACAGCTCAAGAGGCGCCCAAAGCGACCCAAGGCCCCAAAGACGGCCCGGAAAGGAACCCAAATGAAGGAACACGAACCGACAATCTGAGCCTTCCGCCCCAAGAAACACCCAGGAGGCCCCCCCAAGAGGCCCCAAGAGGCCCCCCAGAGGCTCAAAAGAGGCTCCAAGAGGCACCCAAACGGCCCTAAGGGGGATCCAAAATGCCTCCAAGAGGCCCCCGAGAAGCCTCCCACGAGATCCCAACGAACATCTGGTAGGCTTCATACCCACAACCCAGGCACGGTGGCGGTGATTCGCCGTAGGCGTCTTCGATAGTAGTCGCATGTCACGTCGCCTGTGCCATGCGCAAGACTTCGTGCCCTCTCCTGCTTCTGCGCGGTCGCTGCCGAGGCGCCCACGATCGCCCTGTCCTTGCCTTCGGTTCGTGGCAGGCCCGAGTCGCGCGCTCTGCGCGCTCACTTCGGACCCCCAGACCCCACGAGGTCATCCGCGTGCGGCCGACGCAGCATTCGCAGCTCACGAGCGCCTGCAGGCTTGGCCAGCGCACCGCCCCCTTGGCACCCCCTGCCCCTCCCCCCCCGCAGGGAGGCGGCAGGGGAAAAGAGGGGGCGAGGAAGGCCCGGGGGCAGAGGCGACGGAGGACAAGAGAACAGGGGAGAGACACGGAGGAGGTGAGCCCCTGGGGCGCAAGCGTTGCATAGATCCCAATCGACGCAGGCTTGATGATAAGACGCGAGAATGGCGACCGTTCCTTAACACCGGACGTGTGTGTTGGGGGGTGCGAGAGCCGACATGCCGCCAGCGAGCACAGCAAAATGAAACTCAAGTATGAGGCTGCGCCACAGGGAGTCCCAGCCTGGAGCAGAAGTGGTAGCCAAAGAAGAGGGAGGAACAGGAGGAAGAGGATTCCATCACACCGAAATGCTCTCTTCCGTAACCGCGCTGAAGCTCACGCCCAGCCTCCCATCGTCCAATAATGGGAGCGTGATGTTATTAGACTTCTGCGGCACATCATGGGAGCCTCCCAGAACCATCTTGCTGGCTCTTGAAAATCGGCGCGAATCGACGCTTATCGGCGCTAGACCGACGCTAGCCGACGCTAGCCGACGCTGGTCGATGGTAAGGCGTCGCTCTATATCACCAATCACCAAACGCTCATCAACGCCAACAGACTCTGAAGACCTAATTGCGAAGGTATACAAGGTATCCATGCTTTGCTACATGACCGAGTGGGACCGAGGAGCACCCCGGACTTGGACAAGCGCGTTCCACTACTCGCAAAGCCACTCCTCGCAGATGGCCTGGATCTGCCGCGGGGCATCCACGATGCACCACGTCGAGGCCAACGCACGTTTTCGGACGTTTGCGAGCAGGCACTTTGCGAGCAGCGGGACGGGCTCGGTGCGGACCGACAGTTTGAAGGGGCTGGAAGGCCCAGCCAACAGCTTCGCCTCAGGCGAAGCCAAGCTCCCCCTCTGTTGTACCGTAGTAAAGATAGTCCCAGCATGAGAGGAGATGCCATCTCAAGCAATAGGAAGATCCTTTTGGTCTCGATAGCGATTGTGTGCCTCGCGGTGAGGCACAATCAAATTTGGGCGGCCGGCCGCTTGAGCCGACGCAGCCGCGGGCGCACGCTCGTTTCCACTCCGCTTTAGAGTCCGACAACGCGGCAGCAAGAGCAGTCGCAGGAGCCAGCAGGCAACGGAGCCCGAGCCTCCTGCCGCCGGGCTCGGGCTCTGCAGCGGGGCGGCGGGGCGCGGGGAGGGGGCACCGCGGTGGCCGGCCCCGTGCGGCCGTCGGAGTGCCCAGGGGACCCCCTCCTCCTCCTCCTCCTCCTCCTCCTCCTCCTCCTCCTCCTCCTCCTCCTCCTCCTCCTCCTCCTCCTCCTCCTCCTCCTCCTCCTCCTCCTCCCCCTCCCCCTCCCCCTCCTCCTCCTCCTCCCCCCCAGAAGCCCAAGCCAGGATTGCTCGAGGAGCCCCTGTGTCGAGCCTCCCGACGCTCCACGACGGCCCAAGGCGGCCCCCAAGACCCCCCCAGGACGGCTCGGGAGGCCCCCAGGAGAGCTCCAAGACGGCCCAAGGGGGCTCCAAGGCGGCCCAAGAGGCGCCCAAGACTGCCCAAGGGGGCCCCAAGACGGCCCCAACAAGGGCCCAGGAGTGGGAGCACAAACCAACCATTCGAGCCTTTTGCCCCAAGACGCCCAAAGCAAGCCCCCCTGCGCTGGCACATTGACAAAATTGCCGGAAGCAGCTGGATCCAAATTGATCAATGTTGCGTGACGTATTGCTGTTTCTCTTCCAAACGGCATCTCAAGTACCATGGTGACTCCAAAAGCCAACGAAAATCGCGAAGGTCTTACGTTTGATTCCTGGGTCCGATCAGGCTCGTCCCAAGCTTCGGTTTGACGGTTACATCCATTGCCTGTTCCACTCCATGCTCCTACAAAAGTCTCTGATCAACACAACTCGCCTGGAAAGATCGCTTCCGGATGGGCGGGTGGGGATGCGCGAAACATAAAATAAATGGCGGCGGCAAAGAGCTACCGCAGTGGTCGGGGGGAGTCAGCGACAAGCCCGACCAGGGAAACTCGGCGAGACCGTGGAGGGCAAGTGCCAAAGCCAGAGGCAGCCGGCGGCGGGGCCGAAAAAGGGAAACAGGCGACGGCCGAAGGCATCTCCTTGGAGCCCGAAGAAGGGCCGCTTCAGTACAAGCTCTGGTTGGGGATCGAGGAGCGGGGGTGACAGGGAGGGGGCGAGGGTGGCATACCAGGGAATACAATACCATGGAAGGACAAGAGTCCGTCAAGACAAAACGAGCTAGGCCGAGGAGGAGCCCCCGTCCCCGCGATGGGGCACGCGCGCGGGCGGGGGGGGGAGGGTGGAAGGGGGAGGATGGGGAGGGGGAGGTGGCAAGCTAGGTGCGCTGCAGCGGGAGCACGATTCGGAAGGGGCGGGGCCCGAAAATGAGGCCGGCGCCTCAGCGAGAGCAGCATTTTGGAAAAAAATGCAGGCGAAAACCCAACTCTGGGGAAACCTGTGTGTAAAAAAACAGTACGCGGGGGGGGTCGGCCACTTTCAAACCGTCATCAGGGGAAGAGGGAGAGTAGTATTCATATTGAGTAATTATGGAGGAAAGAAGGGCGCGGGGGAGGAGAAGCCAGGTGCGCTTGCGCCACATTTGACATCATACCCCTCCCACCCATCCTCTCCCACTGCGATGATGTCTTCACTATCCGCCGACGCGCGTCATGGCGGACCCGGACTTCAAAGAAAGACCCCGTCGGGTTACGCGCAATCAGAGAAGGAGGGAAGCTGTGCACATTGGAGGAGGTGGCGGGAGCAAGACGACCAACGATCAGGAAAGACTCGGATCCAGAAAATCTTGGCCCGCGCTGGGGCGAGAGCGCCATCCTGAACGATGGCGGCAAGGCGCCGATCCTGAGATGAGGCAAACGCTGCAGCGGCAGCACCATCTTGAGACACTGAAAACGGCCCGATTCAAAACGCATCGGAAAAATTCTGGAATCCTGAATGTACAACAAGACGCGCACGGGGGGGGGCGCCTCCGCGGCCATCTGCGGGGGAGAGAGAGGAGAGCAGTACACAGACTGAACAAAGGGAAGGTGAAAGGTGCAGCGGGCAGCGCCTTGGATCGCGGAAGCAGCGCAGGAGGTCGGCGATGATGGCCGACGAGGGCGGGTTCACGAGCCAGGTGACGGCGATGACGGCGAGCCGGCGGACCCCGAAGCCCTGGGGGCCAGGGGCTCTCGGGTCGCCGCCGCCGTCGCCGCCGCCGCCTCCTCCTCCGCCTCCTCCTCCTCCTCCTCCTCCTCCTCCTCTTCCTCCTCCTCCTCCTCCTCCTCCTCATGCTCCCCCTTCCTTATCAATAATAACTCCTCCCTGTCGCACCCCGAGGCGTGTCTGCAGGCCGGGCGGGGCGTGTTGCCTGAGACCTCCTCACCATCTTTTATCCTGAAACTGAGAGCGGGCCGTTTTCAAAATGTAGCTTTCGCCTCAGCACCGCGAACAGTAGTAGCAAAAACAATAGATTCACGGATGCACGGCTGGACGTTCTCAAAATGTTGTCCCTGCCTTACAATCAACCCATGTCATAAGGATGCGCGATAAAGATGCAAGGGTCTCGGAAAGCCATGTCGACACTATGCGAGCGGGGCGCGGCCAGCGAAGGCGGCCGAGGATGGACCGAAGGGGGAAAATGCAAAGGTAAACTTGGAAGGTTGATCATCCTTAATATGGCTGTAGCCCCACGAACATTCGTTTTGAAAATTTGCTGGGGCTTCACGGATGGAGGGCGGGTAGTTTTCAAAATGTGGCGCCGCGGTCACTATTGTTAAAATGTTGCAAGAATTTGATGGATGGAAAATTGCTCATTCTCAAAATGTGGTTCTCGCCTTAGCGCCGCGCACATTCGTTGTAAGAAGTTACAGCACGTTCAAGGATGATCATGGCTAACTTCCCCGAAGTGGTGTTTACCACAATGCTTGTCAGTCAGGGCGCAACAGATACGTTGATTCGCGGAGTTGACGTCCCAAGACGGGCGTTCTGGTACGACTCAGGATCGTCAAAACGCAACCGTAACGGTGATTCGCGGCGCTGGATTCCCAGAAACGGTGTTTTGACACAGTTCTGGATTTCAAGCGGTTGTCTTTGAGCAGTGCACATTGTCCTCAATGAAAATGAATGTGTTAAGGACCTCGTAAGAGGAAATTCGAATGGACGGACTGATACAATATCGTTGGTGACCGTTGGGTTTGCACTGGCCATCCGCCCTTTCCTCCTCATTACCCTCCTCTTCCCTCTTCCGTCGCATCCTCCTCCCCATGTTCATACTCTTCCTATTCCTCCCCTTTATATCCTCCTCCTCCTCCACCTCCCTCTCCTCTTCCTCCTCCTCCTCCTCTTCCTCTTCCTCCTCCCCAGTATTATCTTCCTGTTCCTCCTCCTCCTCCTCCTCCTCCTCCTCCTCCTCCTCCTCCTCCTCCTCCTCCTCCTCCCCCTCCCGGAACTCACGGGTCCTGGAATTGTTTCGGGCGACGCTCCGTGTTCAGCGGGCCGCCTCGCGCAGGCTGGGCGGGCGGTTCTTGGCTGGCGGCTGCTCAGGAATTGCAAACAGGCGCACGAGGGCCCCACTCCGCCACGCCGACTGGACGGCCGCGGCTTCGGGCTTCAAGGCATCCAAAGAGCCGACCTGAAGGGGTCGACACCCGAGGTGCGGATTCGACTGCCCCAGGTCTTTCGCAGCGCCGAACCGAGGCTGGGGACTCCACTGCATGGCATCGCTCGGACCGTCACTCCCCGTGAAATTCTCACCTTCGTGAGACTATGCTGTCGCAGGACGATCCTTGATGCTCCTCGATGGTCCTCGCTGAGGAAAATGCGCACGTCCGAACAATGCCAAGCCAAGCTGCCCGGAGGCTGCCGCGCGGCAAACCAGGCGCTCTGGAGTGGCCGTCGGACGCGGCGGGCTGGGTTCTCTCGGAGTGGCCGTCGGGCCTCCCTCCACTCGCCCTCTGTGCCAGTATGGTCGGCCTCTTTCTGGCTAGCGCTTTGGACACCGACCAAGAGGCCAGTTCCCCACGGGGGACCCTCTCCACTTCCAGAGGGCACCATGCCAGCAAGCCGTCGTGCAGCAGCGTGTGGCCACTGGGCGGCAGGCCGAGGAGACGTCGGGCCAGCTCCGACAGCCACGCGGCCACAGGAGGGCAGCGGTGCTGCACACAAAAGACTTCGGCGAGACCTTGCGCAACACCTCCGAACCACTCGTTTGCCGCGGGGACCCTTCGCACGTAGGTAGGTAGATCACTCCGCGGCACGCGGGTCGGCCTCGGGCCAAAGGCGACGGCAGCGCGGCTCGCCAGCTGCCGCCCTCCAACGCGCTCGCCAGGCGGCGGCGCGCCCCCTTTCAAAGGGGAACGGAAGCGATGCAGACGCAGTACATCGTGACGTTGCGCCCGTGGTGGGCGAAGTGGGCGCGGCCCCAGCACTCCGGAAACCAAAACCGGGGCGCGTTCTGGCCGGCACTTCGGCACGCATTCCGGCGGTGGCGACGAGGGCGAGACAAGAGCAGCGGCATGGGTACTGTCGGGGGTTAATTTGAGAGGACACGCGAGAAGACACAAGACCCTTCTGGTAACTTGACTCGAACTTACCCCTACCCCTAAGATCGGCAAGCCAAAAGCGATGACAATCTTAGGGATGTCCCCTCAGAAGCGGCGGGAACGCGTACGATCGGCACCGAGGCGAGGGGACGCCAAACACAGGGCCAAGGGTACGTTTCAAAGTGGTGGCATGGAACGGAACGGAACGGAAGTCTGCGTGCCAGCTCCGGTAACCGGAGCGGTCCCCCAGAGGGCAGACCGTGCGCTGAGCATGTCGGAAAATGAATGTCGGCAACGAGCACACGCAGGAAAATACGATTAATAAATCCTCTGGTGTGCAGGTTTTCGGTCAGAGAAACCCTGCCGGCTAAGAAGAGCGAGAGGAGGAGGAGGAGGAGGAGGAGGAGGAGGAGGAGGAGGAGGAGGAGGAGGAGGAGGAGGAGGAGGAGGGGGGCGACAAACTGGGGCGCGGTATCGGTGCCCTGGCCTCCTCGGAGGGGCAGGGGGCGGCGCCGCGCACATGCCAGGCTCCCGCGTGCCGCCCGCGCGAGCGCCGCCCCGAAGCGGCGGGTGAGCGCCGCACCGCGCAGCGCCCGCGTGCTATGCTGCGCTCCGGCCCGAGGGCGGGCGGGGCACACACGGGGGCGCTTCGGCACCTCCCCGTCTGGGCAGCCCGCGTCCGCCCCCTTCACCTGCCCCATCGGCTGCGGGGCCTCCCTTCGGGCGCCGTGGGATGGGGGGGGCGGGACTAGTGGCCCCCTCCCCCTCCTCTCCTCCTCCTCCTCTCCTCCTCCTCCTCCTCCTCCTCCTCCTCCTCCTCCTCCTCTCCTCATCCTCATCCTCATCATCATCTCATCCTCATCATCCATCATCATCATCATCATCATCATCATCATCATCATCATCATCATCATCATCATCATCATCATCATCATCATCATCATCATCATCATCTCATCATCCTCATCCATCAATCCTCATCCTCATCCTCATCCTCATCCTCATCCTCATCCTCATCATCAGCCTCAGCATCAGCATCAGCATCCTCATCATCCTCAATCATCCATCATCATCATCATCATCATCATCATCATCATCATCATCATCATCATCATCATCATCATCATCATCATCATCATCATCATCATCATCATCATCATCATCATCATCATCATCATCATCATCATCGTCATCATCATCATCATCATCATCATCATCATCATCATCATCATCATCATCATCATCATCATCATCATCATCATCGTCATCATCATAATCAGCATCATCATCATCAACATCATCATCGTCATCATCATCGTCATCACCATCATCATCATCATTATCATCAGCAGCATCATCATCCTCATCATCATCCTCATCATCATCAGCATCATCATCATCATCATCGTCGTAACCATCATCAACGTCATCGTCGTAACCATCATCAAAGTTATCATCATCATCAGCATCATCAGCATCATCACCATCATCACCATCATCATCACAATCATCATCAGTATCAGCATCATCATAATCATCAACATCAGCATCATCATCACCATCTTCATCATCATCATCATCATCATCATCATCATCATCATCATCATCCACAGTATCATCATCCACAGTATCATAATGATCAGCATCATCAGCATCAGCATCAGCATCATCGTAGTCGCCATCATCATCAGCAGCATCATAGTGATCGTCATAATTATCATCAGCATCTTCATTGTCATCATCGTCACCAGCAGCATCATAAGCAGCATGTGCATTATCATCATCACCACCACCACCACCATCATCATCATCACATCATCATCATCGTCGTCGTCGTCATCATCATCATCATCATCATCATCATCATCATCATCATCATCATCATCATCATCATCATCATCATCATCATCATCATCATCATCATCATCATCATCATCATCGGCATCAGCATCAGCATCAGCATCAGCATCAGTACCATCATCATTAACAGCATCAGAATCACCAGCGATATTTGCAGTAGCATCATTATCAGCAGCATCATCAGCATCAGAATTGGCATCATGATCCGCCGGCCCCTTGGGGTTCATCGGCGTGTGAAATGTTTCCCCCTCCTCAAACCCCTCCCCCAGGAGCCCAGTCCGGTCGATTTGGACGGGGGGTACGGGGGCGGTCCCCCGGGATCCGGGTGAACGCATCCGGGGGGGGGCAGAGGGCCCCAAAACCAAGAGGGCCCCAAGAGGCCCTTGGGGTGGTCCACGAGGGCCACGAGTCGCTGAAAGATCGATCCAAAACGCCCACGCTGGCCTCCAGGCGGCCCAAGAGGCCCCCAAGACGCCTCAAGAAGCCCCCAAGAGGCGTTCCAAGAGGGCCTCCAAAGCAAAAATCGTCCCAGTCCCTTTGGAAAAATACATTTTAGCACATGCGCCTCTTGGGCGTTCACAACGTCCCAGACGGCCCAAGTGGCCTTCAAGATCGCCCCAACACGGGCCAAGAGGCCCCCGAGAGGGCCCCAAGACGACTCAAGAGGGCCCCAAGACGACCCAAGAAGCCCCCAATACGGTCCAGGAGGGCCCACTGACAGCGCTAAGAGGGAGCCCAAAGGGGGAACCCGAACGGACATCTCGAGCCTTC